CCACAAATTCATCAATTGATGTTATATCGCCAAAAGCAGCGGAAGAATGGGGATGGCAAAATGTTAATGATCAGATGGTATATCGACCTTTACCAATTGGCAGAATTAAGAATGGCCCAAATTCAACAACGGCTAATTCAAACTTGAAAGGATCACCAACTCCGACTGTTAGTAGTTCAAAGTCCATCAGATCTTTAAGAGATCAGAAAATATCCCAGGCAGGATCACCTTTATCACAAGTTAGTAGTAAGCAGCATAGTTCTTCATCATCAAACCATCGTTCTCCACAAGAAACGAAAAGACCTAAATTTATGTCGAATTCAGCTCAATCTGATGATGAATCACAAAGTTTAAGTCCAACCATTGAACTTCCGTCAGAAGTACGCGAGAAAATGAAGCAAAAAGGTATTATCGACATATTTGATGACTTCGATGACAAAGACAATGATCAAGCGATATCCCCTCCGGCAGATATGAGCAATCACGGTCATAAGCGAAAGCATCATAATAAACTTAAACAAGGTAAAAAGTTGACTGCCAGTGATTCAAATATTCGTAAGCATAGAAGTAGCGGCAAGGGACTAAAAATTTATAACAATTTACGTCAATCATCTCAACGATTTCGACAGCGGATCGTTGGCCATTCACCACCGAAGAAAAACCTCGAGTATGTAAGTACTCCGGATTTATTACAACGTCATTCTCCTTCATACAGTTCAGTCCGATTTGGAAATGTGGATAAAATGAGTAAATTTGATACTAGCAGCATGCAATCAAATCGTCTTATTTATCAACAATTACCATATACTGGACTGTCATTGAGGCATGCATCATCTACAGCTTCCTTACCAATTATGGGAGGAATACCACCACGATATAATGGATCAATTATGAATCGTAGCATGGCTAAAGTAACAGAACAGCAAATTATGAGAGAACAAAATAATCGACTGAAAACATTACAACATCAAGCTGATGCTCAAAATCTTAAGCAGTTACAACATAATAACCAACAGAAATTATGTTATGAATTACGGCGAAAGCTTGAATCTGAACTATATCAAAAACGAGAGCAATTAAAGCAACAACGAGAGAAAAGACTTATGCAGGAAAGAGCATTAGTTTTTCGGGAAACGGAAATATTAAAAAATGCTGTACACGAATCTCGCACCATTCCTGTTTCTCAAGATAGATCTCCGCCATCAACGAATCAAAAATCCGTTCCTCAGCGAGCATCCCCACCAAGAAATCAAAGCACATCTAACGTGCAAACACAGTTACATCAGCAACCATCTAAAGGTGTTATAATTAGGACAACTTCTCAATCATCACCTCCATCTACCCAGCAAAGGACAAATAATGTTACAAGGGATAAAATGGGATTAGCTTCTTCTGCAACTGCATCTCTGCAACTAGCATCATCATCCCAATTCAAAGCCACACCGACAGATTTAGCCATTGCTTCACGCTATGGTAAATTTTCTAACGTTAAGGTCAATCCTGACCATATTGCGGAGCTAAAAAGTGTCGTTAGTGATAGAACTAGCCAACTAGCTGTTCGAAAGCCAATTGTTAAAATGCCAAAGCATGACAGCCATAGCAGCTATACTGAAAATACTCAGTACCCATACCAAGGATCAACTCAGACACCTTATAATCGTCCATTAAGTCCAGATCATGCCTATTCAGGTACTCTTGATGACAGAATGAATCGATCAAGAAATAATGTAAGCCATCAACCAACTAGTCAACTAGATACCTCCGACGAAAGGCTATATTTCGAAGCTAATCTTCGTAAAATTGATGCTAACCCAAACAACAATTTTAACAATGTTCCGATGGAAGAGCCAGTAAAAGATAAAGCTGTTGCAACTTCTAGTAAGAATTCGAATCCCCCAAAAGATGGTAATACTTCTTCAGAGAATATTCAAGATAAATCGATCGAAATACCTCAGGTAGAGATTAGCAGAGCTGCCAATGATGACCACCATGTCAACAAAGATCATGTTGATAATCAAGAAGCCGATACTACTAGTCATGACATTGCCAAACCGTCAGAACAAAAAAACACTGAAGAAATATCAATACAGATAGTTGAAAATGAAATTGTCACCACTACAGCTACTACAATCAATGCAGTTTGTGCTACAGTCAGTAGCCAAATAATTACACCTGAAGAACTTACTTCGACAGTCCACGTAGTTCAAAATGCTTCCTTAACTACCGCAGTTGCCACAAATGACTCAACAATAAATAGTACACACGCTACAACAAGTTCCTTTTCGACAATTTCTTCCAATATATCAAGCCCAAGTATGGGAGCCAATGCTCAGATGTTTGATTCACAACAACATGTATCTCCAACTGCCAGTAGTAATTTATCATCCCCGGTAGGACGTGCCATTGCCGGACAAGAGATTTTCACTCAATTCAGTCCACAAAATATGATGTACTCCAATTTTGCTGAGCAAGGAATGATACCAAATGCCCAATATCGGGCGATGTATCCCCATCATTTTAATAGTCCAGAATTTTTAGGCTATGGTGGAGGCTATCCTGCTTACACTTCGCCAGTGAATGTGATCGGACAACATCCAAATTATGTCACCTATATGCCAGGGATGCCTCCAGCTAACTTTTACCCGTCACCTGGGCAAAATCCCATGTATATCAATCCTGCATTTCCACAGTACTTTCCAGGACAAATGCAATATTCAGGATACCCATTAATGATGCCCAACTCTTCACAACACCCTGGTTTAAATACAACAGCAATACCGTCTACAAATTGGCATCCAAGGAATATATCAGCTGAACAACTGAGATCAGACCAACTCCAGCAAGCTGGAATACTCTCATCTAAATCCAATGAAAGCAGTCATGAAGGTGGCATTAGCACTGATATCAAATCAACTACAGAACTTACTTCCAATCAAGCTAAAAGTAATCAAGACCTTGTCCAAGGTCAATTAATGCAAATAAATGATCAGTCAGGAAATACTAAGGAATCTGTTTCCTCCACTGGTAGCATAGAATTATCAGCTGTAGCTCTTCTTCCAAATTCTAATACACAAAATGATGGTAATACTGATATCTCAATTGAAAATATCAACACCTCTTTGCCTGTTTCTAATATGCAAGAAACAACAGCAGAAGTCAAAAGAAACGTGAAAGAAAACTATCAAGTTGATGAAAACGCTGAAAACGCAACGGTTGATAATATAGCAAGTAGTAGTTTAAATGAGATTCATATAACAGAAGTACAGCAGAATATAACCGGTGAAACGTTAAGCTTAACTGATAAACAAATAGCAAATGAAAATGAAAGTAGTAATTCATCGTTATCGAAAAGTACTCCCGTAGAGGTAGCGGATCAGCAATTAGACTCTCCAAGTATTGACGTCCATAATTCTACACCCGAAACCGCAAAGCAATCTGATCATGAAAATAAAGATCAATCTGAACAACATCTTACTGGAAAGGAAGGTGAATCGCAATCTGTTGCAGAGGAGAGCAGTAGTAATAACACCGTTGAAATTAATTCTTTAGCTCAAGCAAGTACAGAAGTAACGGATGATGCCATACAGTCTAATGATATAGAACCTGCTGACGAGTCTTCAGATCAAGAAATTATTGAAATTCCTAAAGCCAACAAACCTAAAGGAAGAAGTAGGCGGTCAGCAGTTGATGAATCAGAAGAAGCAGCTGCTTTATTATCACAAGAATTAGAAAATAGACTTATGGCCATGGATGAACAAGAGAATATCGGTGATTCTGGCCAAGGGGAGAATGCAACTGATCCGTCAAGTCATCAACAAGAATCAGTAAATAATACACAGATAAATGCAATTGAATCCGTTGCTAATGCGGAATCGACTCCTCAAAGCGATACTAATGCCGAAGTGGAATCGTCCTCCGATAAATTAAAAGAGAACCAAGCGTCCAATGAAGAAATATCTACCGATAATGCAGCCTTACAAGATAGTAGCACTGACAAAACAGATAATAGTCGTACACTCCATGCTGAAAATGTAAATAAGGAAGTTATAACGATTAAAAAATCAGATACTGTCGAGGCCGAATCGAAATCAATCTCAGATCAAGTTACTTTAAACCCAGAAAATATATCTTCCGAATATGAGGATCAAAATACCGTAATGAATAATTCTAAAAATGATAACGCGGTCATAAAGGTAGCAGACTCGCAACAAAATACAACTACTACTAGCGAATCTAAGGAAGTAGTCAATAATAGTAAGGAATCTATTTCTGCTGATCCGGCGCAAAACGAAATGGAAACAGACATTAAAAGAGCTACCAATGGCTCAGAGGAGTTAGTGATGGAAACAGCAACAAAAAATGCTCGTGAAGTAGATCAAAAAGTACAAACTGGCACGGATACCGATGCATCAGACGGAGCAGCATCATCGGCATCGCAGCGAAGTTTAAGCGGAACAGCATCCGGTAATGAATCTTCTAGCGAAGATAACGGACATAAACCCTTCTACTCAGATAATAATATCAAACCTGAGAGTGCATCAGAAAATAGCAAATCAAGAAGTAGTAGCAGTGAAGGATCAAATAATTCACAAGCCCAATCTGAAACAGCAACAATAGAAGATGTGAATGATAGAACAAGCCAGGAATCCGCAAAATTAGCTAAAAGCAACGACAACGAAACAATAACTGCAGACGAAAGGGCTGCTAAATCTACGACGGCCGAAACTCTTGAAAACCTATCCTCAGCTAATCAAGACACTACTAAAACAGATGATCAGCCTATAAGCGAGACCGTTGTCGAAACGTCTGATGAAGCTAGTAACAGATCTAAACTTAGTTTGGATTTAGACGACCACGTTAAATGCTCACCTCTTCAGTCTCCAAGTTCAGAAGTAAGTGAATATAAATTTCGCCACAAGAATAAATGGTAAAATCACGAATCCTTACTCTCCCAAACATAAATTAATTTTAATACAAATCTTTTTACATCTTAGACATTTGATGATTTTAAAACACCTATAGTTATTGATAATGGTTCAAGCAGTATAAAAGCTGGTTTGGCAACCGAAAGTAATCCCAGCGTAATTTTTCCTTCTATAGTTGGCCGGCCTCAATACAAGGTATAATAAATACATTTGGCGTTTTGTCCATGTATTATAAATTTAACAATGATAATCGAAAAAGAAAAATAGCTAAGTATTAGAGAAAAAATAGCTAGTATTGGTATGCGATCGATATTATTGAAATGAATAGCAGGTAGAATCGCAATATGACCTTAAAATCATGATACTAAACGTTTTTGTTACCATAGTTATGATATTCTCCTGCATCAGCTGTGCTAATTATCAGTAATCAATATTGATAAAAATTGTTTCATTAAAAATTATAGCAATTGACAAATGATGGTGGTGCGTTATATTATGGAGATGCTGCTCAAGAAAAACGGGATGTACTTACTTTAAGTCATCCCGTGGAGCATGGCGTTGTCAAAGACTGGGATGATATGGAATTAGTAAGTACTTTTATTTACCGTCGACGATATCTGTAGACTTGTATAAATGCAATCAACCCAAGTTACTTGCCTAATATGTTAATTTTATGGACTAATTACTTGTATAAATATGTAGATGCATACAGTAACAGCTACCTTTTATTTTAGTTATGGCAGCATATGTTTGAAGACCAATTAAGATTAGAAGCTAATGAACATCCAGTGCTCATCACTGAAGCACCAATGAACCCTAAGAAAAACCGTGAAACCATAACTCAGATCATGTTTGAAAATTTTAATGTGCCCTATCTCTATGTTGCAACTGAAGCGCTATTATCATTATATGAGAGTGGAAGGACAACAGGTTAGTGGAATCGGTCTAGAATTTATATTGCATATATCTATAAGCTACATTCCTTAGTATCAATTATTTGGCTAGCACACACTAGCTGCAATAGATTTCTTGATTATAAGCCAGAATCTTCGTTAAGCACCTACTTTGTCATAGCATCACAATATTTATGTATGCTTTATTAGCTAGGGAGCATATCTTGCAATATTTATAGATTTTTGTACTCTTGACGATTTCACATTCTAACATTTACTCACCCATTAATAACTCGATTTTTTTAGGATTGGTCTTTGATAGTGGCGATGGTGTGAGCTATTCGGTTCCAATCTATGAAGGCTGTGTCCTAGATTATGCAGTGCAAAGATTAAATTTAGCCGGTCAAGACTTAACACAATTTTTGGCAAGGGCATTAAATGATAGGGGAAGTTCGTTCACAACGGATGCTGATATGGAAACAGTCCGCGAAATCAAGGAAAACTTATGCTTTGTAACATTAGATTATGACACCTTATCCGTTGACGAAGAATCTGTCGAAACTTCTTATACATTGCCTGATGGCCAGGTGATTAAGATTGGTAATGAACGCTTTCGCTGTCCAGAAGTTTTATTTAGTCCAGCTATGGTCGGGCTCGATTTGGCCGGCATCCATAAGAGCATTTCCAGTTGTATTACATCATGTGATGTTGATATTAGGAAAGAATTGATGCAAAATGTTGTCTTAGCCGGTGGTAATAGCCAATTTAAGGGATTACCAGAGCGTCTGAAAGAAGAAATTGAATTTGAAACACCTTCAATGTGTGGTAAAATCAGGATACATAGCCCATGTAGTAGGATTAATACAATATGGCGAGGAGGTGCAATATTAGCAAGCTCGCCAAAGTTTTGCCGCATGTGTATAACTAGTGCTGAATATGAAGAATTTGGGCCATCTATAGTCAATCGCCGTTGCTTATAATACTGAAAATTAATTCTACGATTGAACCCATGTTGTCTAAAACTCTTTCTACCTGATGTACATTGCTAGTTAGGTATTCCTATAACATAATTAACTTGTATTAATGTATCCATGATCTTAGCTGTAATGATGCCATTTATTACGGTAGTAATTTAAAGGGATTAACGTTCTTAAACATTGTACAGAAACTTTCCAGTTAATATCGCTAAAAGATCGTAGTTTTATAATTTTATGCAATGATGTACATTTCCATATCCAAATCGATTGCCTACCGATTGTATTAACTACGGCCAAAATAAAGAGATGTCTATGAGCAGTAATTTATCTAAATTGCTGTTGTAGTACCTCAGCATACTCCTTTCGATCTTACTGTCAACATTCACATTATATTTTTTGGCTTCAAAGTGAAATTAATGGTAGCAAAAAAGTTTATAATTTCTTCTAAAATATATTTTTAAGGCAGATAGCAAGAGATTGAAATTATATTTCTAACGAAGGAAAATAATGGTAAATGTAATCAATTTATTAATTTTTACTATCAATTCCCTTTTTACTTTGTTTGTATCACAAAATGCTGTAACTTTTTAAAAAATTTATTTTGTAGCATAATCCTGATGCATTATTGGATTAACGCTATAAATATATTTATATGTATAAATGCATAAATATAATTATGCTAATCGGTATACGAATTATTAACAGATAAACTTAAATGCACTGTCTATTGGTAATTAAAAACTATATTTCATTAACTTACCACTTGTAATATGTGCAAGCTGTAAATGTGTTATTTTTATATTCACTTGTTCTACCTAATATATCAATAAAGTCAGAATATTTCTTTTATTCCATATTGAGTATCCTTTTATTTTTAACATGATCGGCGACGGAATTATTCATAAATAAGAGAAAAATGATTGGTCGGAGCAAGCTCGATACTTGCGAAAATTATCAGATGTAGCACAGTACCGTACCTATTCCCCTAAATTATTTCAATTTTATGTAAAAGTAATGCAAATCAAATTTTGAAGGCAAAAAACAGTTTATAACCTTATGTATTCTTCTTAGCGTGTTATTTTTATTATAACCCAACGAATTAATAATCTATTTATCATCAAAAAATACAGTTAGCACATATTTCTAAGGATAATATTACTAATTTAAAGTTACTCTACAGCAGTAAATTCTATTATAGTCTTATAAGATTCCATCGGCAAGCTTCATATTATGTACCGTAAGCCATATCTACAATACTATTAAGTCAGATTACTATCAAGGTGATTATAACTCTGGAATTAAAACAATTTGTATTAAAATTCGATCTAATATTTGCATAGCACTTACAGTAGCACAATTTAATGATTCATGGGCCAGAATCAGCAACACTATCTATCTATGGTACAAATAATGCAGTCAAAAACTGACAGTGTCTCAAACTGTAAAGTAGGATCTGGTTCTTGAATATTGCCCATATAAATTTGGGCCTTGTTCTTGTATATTATTCATCTAGTAGTTTTAGCAATAACCATTCTTTACTTTACGAATATTAATCTCTGATTAGTTAGAACAGATAATTATAATGGCATGGAAAATAGAAAGCGAGTATTCTACCAAAAACTTATACTAGCATAATAGGTTTTGCATGAGCTTAAGAGATTCAGAAGTGGATCCTTGTCATATTTCTGTTAATTACGATGTAAAGTTCTCATTCCATCACGTCGTTATTTTTTAATGAGTGAGTAAGGCAGCGATTCTTAAAATATCCGTAGGAATTGAATACAAAGTAAAGATATAAATAACACAATTTTACTATTTGTAGCCTAAGGCAAGATACAAATAATTTACAAAAGTAAGCGCCGATAATTTTGGAATTACTTTTTACTCGTTATCCGATCAAAGACTGGACAATTTGTTCCTTGCAAGTATTATTGAGCAGAGCAAAAATCGTGTCGATCTTTTTTATACTGTTCCGTTATAACCCTATATTCTAATTGGGCATATACTCATTTATTTAAATTTATGCCATAATACAGTCAGATAATTACATCTTTTTACATAAAATATCATCTTTACAGATAGAAAAACAGCCAAAATCATGCAATTATGCGTAATTTTAGTATTTCTTTAATAAAGAGCGATATAAGTTATTGATTTATCTTGATCCCGACAAATATCCATAAACCACATGAATGTTGCCTGCTGGCAAGAGGTAATTTCATTGGAATTTACATTCAATAAGTCGCTGAATAAATCTAAAATCTATTAATAACGTAGTTATATGATTCATCATTTTTTAAATATATAATATCTACGTTACTCTCGAAACAGCGACAAGATAAACAACATTTAAGTCTTCGGAATAAAAATAGACCTCATGGTATAAATTTCTTCTTATTTTAATGCTATAATAAATCATCTCCTTATCACATTGTTATAATAGCAAGCTTTATATCCAAATGGCATATTGTTAACGTTATTTTGAAGCCTAGACAACATCAAATCGGCCTAATAAGAGTAGACCTCATAGCGTGAACTTCTTATTTTAATGCTGTAATAAATCATCCTATTACAGTAGATCACAATAACAGTAAGCTTGATTAAACTTGACGATACAACAATCATGATTCCCGACATGCAAAAACAACTAACCATGCTAAAACTCCATTAGATAGAGCAATGAATGCCTAGCTGGATAGAAGATACTATTGAAATGGAAATACCATGATAGATGTATGCCTATGAGCTATATTAAATCATGGTATTACATCTTCATGTCAGAAAAAATAGATTAGCTATATTTATAGAGCCTTACCAATGTAATCATCATTACAGGGAGACTTTTCGTTATACTGTGAAGCAGAACATGATTTTAGGACTCTAGTATGGGTAGTCTGAACGCTTTTAATATTAGCTTAAAGTCGTTTCTTTCATTACTAGGCTATCATTAAGCAAATTCTTCAAACGGATCATACGATCAAGCAGTAGATTGCAAGCGTTAACTAATCGCAATCATCTACTCGTCCTATCTGAGTGTAAAGCTATTCATAAGTTATGGCATAATCTATCTACTAGCAACAGAATAAGTTCGAAGAAACTTCACTTATAACAAAGCCTAGAGTATAACTATTCATAAATTCTTGGATTGTCTAATTCTCCTCTTAAGCTAATGGCTCATTCTTGAGTTATTATTACGTAAACTCCTATATAACGTTTAAAATGATTACTATATCAATTCATGGAGCCAAAACTTTGCATCATATTTGGTTATAATTGATATAAACCACCCCACAGCCTACTTTTGAGCCATTACTGTACTGCATTCTTAATCTACTGCTGATACTTAATTACACTTAATTAATATCCCAGTATTAGGCTAGTCCCAATGATAATTAATTATAATTTTAATTGTAGTAGTAAAACACGTAATTACCTATTAGCTTGTTCACATTAATGATGGTTGATAAATAAATTCCTAATATAAATTTTTGTAGTGTAGTTCGGCTCATTTCTAGAAGTATATTGAAGCTCTTAAGTTAAGTTCGTAGCACTTATGCATATAGCTTATATCACTACATGACTGTAATGAACAAGATATTACGAAATACTATACAGTATATACTGCTATGGCAATGGGGGTTTAATGAATCTATAGATTTAGATTTAGCAGCCATACTATAGACCTAAGTTTGTGGCAATTAGCTACAGTATACACTATCGGGCTATCAGGTTGTCCTCTTCAACATTTACTTAGAGTACAGCTCAAAAAACTGAAGCATCAGGAGCCAATGGCAAATACACATCTCTCCTACCTGAAATGATGAACGCAATTTTATATAGAAAAGCAGCTAATCTACAGTATAATGTTCTTACCTAAACATAAATTACGACTGATAATATTATGAAAGTATGCAAAATACCGTACACGTTTTACTTGATGAACGAGGAAAATCTTTAATACATAATTACCATAATTTTATTATCTTGTACTTGTGAATGCATGCTAGAATGAAAGAGTTACTGTCAGGGCATACAATTTTTATAATTTATCCAGTTCGTTATTTACCGTTATTTCAAGAATATCTCAATAAAGTATAACCAACACATAAAGATGTTGACATTCAGTATTATGAATATGGCAAATATGCAGTAATTAAGTGTAAACTTAGCTTATAACTATAATAATGTAAACTTTTTACTAATTCCTTTTATTTTCGAAATGCAAGAGTGCAGACAGCAGCTATATCACTTTTAACCACAGATTTAAAGGTTTAAATACGTTAGGCAAAAGGCCGTGGTGATAGTAGTATATGATTGACTCGGTACTTAAATAAAACGAAAGAACGTTTTAAATATCTTATAATTATCAAGGTACAAAAATAAATCGTACACATGTATTTGCGTATTTTCCCCGTTTATAGAACAGGTACGGTACTAGTAGACTAAAAAGTTAATGTGTATGTGTATACAAACTTTTCATTATCGCCTGGCAACACAAGCTTGATCCTTACAATCGCCACTGATAATAGCATTTTCGTGTTGTCATTCATGATATTAGCTGTAAATGTAGATGGAAGTGTTGAATTATTAAGCTTTTCCGCAAAAAAATGAGAACAAAGTCTTCATCATGGATTCATCTTTATTTATTCAATTATAATAAATAGCTTCATACGCGTATAAGTATGTATTTAGTATAGACAAGAATGGAATAATACTCACATTCATAGGATCGACAATTTAATTAGGAAAATAAGTTATATATTTATTGAACAAATTTAGAAACACCGGTATTATCAACAGATACTACTGCGTACATTAAAAATTATTACTTATCCTCATTATGATATAATTATCATTTAACTTGAGAAGATTTTAATTGAATCGGCTTGTTAATAACGGAGATGAAGAGTCCATTTGGCTTTATCCTAGGTGAACAATTAATTTACCTTATGTCAAGATTAAATAGAGAATAAACTTATGCATGGCCACAGTTGATCTGATCAATTAATTGGGCATATTCTTACGAATAATAGGAACGATTCCAATCTGGACAAGAAATAATCTTAATCATCAACAGATTGATTTATCGGATACACAGCTAGATAGAGATTAAGCCTATTAAGCATGCTGGTTGTAGTCATGAATCATTCTTTAGCATCTAGGGAAAATGCGTCTATCTAATCTGGTCTATAACAATTTTGCATGATGCACTAATTTTAATTTATCAAAATACACTAGCAATATTAATCTTATAACGCTTTAATTAAGGATAACTCGTACAACGAGGTTAAATATGAGTGCTGATAGCGAATGTATACCAAGTGCTAAATTTCACTATTTCCAATGCAATTTAAATGAGTGACTTCATTGTAACTAAGGGCAACTTTGCTAGTTCGTATGTAGTCACTATTTATATATCGGCTATCCAATTGCTGATTGAAATCTTCAGAAGCTAGAAAGAGAAATGGAATTGTCTTATATTAAAAGTAAGAGTAACTAATCTAAGTGCTATGATTAACTTATAGTAATACACGAGATTATTTAAATCATTCTAACTCTTTCTTTTAATAGCGACGCAAACCTCCATATCCAGGAGCTCTTCTGTTTGATCGAGTTTTGCAACATATTGCAGTAAAAATTTTACCGAAAACTGCTGCAATAACACATCCAAGTACAATCATAATTGTTCTAGTATACACTTGATCATCCTTCACTGGATCAACTAAAGCAAGATACAAAATATAATATTACACCCCTATAGTACAGTGTTATGCATAACCACGTAGTAATCTATATAACTATAACGTTGCTAGTAGATTTTCATGGCATAATAGTGTTTGGAAGAATAGTAAATAAAACGCACTTACAGTCAGGATTATCCTTCGTTCATTTACCTACGGTAAGAGTCTAAATACTGATGATGTTCTATCATCAAGAGAAACAGCAATACCGCTAGCCTCTCTTAGACGAAGCTGAGCTCAAACTTTATGAAAAATTAGTCAATCTATAGTAAATCTACTGGACCATTAGTTATCAGTATATCGATAATGTGATAAAACTATGCATAGATCTATGAAAGAATGTGTAACGCCATAGATAATACTTATCTTAATAGTATTCTTAACAAATACCATAGAATGTTATCTAACGAAAATAAGATAAGTGTTAGAAGGCAAAAGTCAATTCGTGACTTTTAGCCAGTAGAATTTCTTATTATTTTGAGTTTTAAATAGTAGAATAAATAGTCAAAGATAATATGACTTTTACATTGGGGCAGTGACATGATAGGTTAGATCCTGGCAAAAAATAGATACTACATAAATAGTAAATAGTATTATAGTATTAAGTATCCTATTTCTCCTTGTCTATTGAAATAGTAATGCCATAGGCCATATCATAGGAAGAAAAGATATCATGCCAGTGTTAAATAACATACGGTAAAAATAAAGCTACAGATAATATAACTTGAAAAAGGAGGCAATAATGTGATAGGCTCTGACATAATAAGATACTCTATCAGACACCGAATAAGATAGTATCTCCAAGTTTGCTTATTAGCACTAGTGTTTATAACTTATATATTAATGAGAGGATTAGATATATCAGAAAACTGTAGGAATAATAAATAATATAGTCAAATATGTTTTAGACAACTAGTGTTCCGTAATCCATCTCTGACTATATGATTGTAAAAATGTCATTTTATGAGTTCTGTTAATCAATAGATCCCAGTAGTAGTCTGCCGTAACAATCGGTAGGGGTATCAATTTGGGGAGAGAGGTTACAACAGAATATTATATGATTAATAAATATTATAGTTAAGAATTCCATCAATATTCTCTTCATGATTGCATAAATGCCATATTACGAATTCTGTTAATCAATCGATCCCAGTAGCAATCTGCCGTAGCCATTGGGAAGGATATCAATTTTAGAGGATAATGATAAAAATCTGTGGGACTAAAATATTATGGTCAAGAATTCTAAGGATAACCTCTCTATGATTGTTAAATGCCATGTTATAACATTTGTTAACCAATAGATCCCAGCAGTAGTCTGCCGTAGCAATCGATCACAAAGATGCCCAGCTACGAGTTTTGTTTCAATCAGCAGATCTAAGCAACAGTCTGCAGTAGCAACCAGCAAGGGTATTATCTGGGGTAAAAACAGAAAACGATATGACTAAAAATATTATTATTGTCAAGCATTATATTGATAACTTCTCCATCATTACAAAATGCTATGTTATGAGTTCTGTTATTAATAGATCCCAGTCGTAGCCTACAATAGCAACTAGTAAAGATATCAATTTTGGGAGGTAATGACAGAAACCAATAATATGACTAATAAATACTATTGTAGTCAAGGGTTCTATTGATGACCTCTCCATCATTGCCAAATGCTGTTCTAATTTCTGTTATTATTATTCGATCCCTAGTAGTCTATAATAGCAACTGGTAACGAATCGTATAAATAATAAATATTATAGTTAAGGATTCTATGGATGACCTCTCTATCATTGCCAAAATGCCATGTTATGAGCTCTGTTAATTAATTAACGTTTATTATAGATCCCAGCCAGTAGCAGTCGGTAACGATATCTATTTTTTATATTATAGACTTTTGATGTCTTTAATTCAACAGCCGTTAGCATGCTATCAAATAAAACTGTTTCTATTCTTTTCTTTCCATTCTCCAAGAATACTAACAAACTCTCAATCATAGGCAAGTTGTTGACGATAGCGACAAAAAGTCAATAAGATCAAGCTATGTCAATAACCGATGGAAAACGCCAGGATCGCGACATCTCGATTCTGCAATCCATCAGGACCGTCAGCAATATGACTCATAACTATCGATAGAAAAGTGGCTAATAAATACATACTTGCGCTAATAAACTATGTTGTAATGTGGCGAACTATCACTTAACAAACTAGCCAATAAGTTATTGTCTTTGCTGTTGTTACTGAACAAGAATGCACATATTGTTTCGTTAATCATCCATTTAGCAAATAGGTGTGTAAAACAACAAAAGCTTGTTACTAAGTTATTCATTAACGTTGAAAGATAGATTTAAATTTATGTTGAAAGCTAAACTATTGATAAAAATCGGCAGGAGATTCCATAGCAGTCGGACGACGTTATGAAAGGTAGAGAGAGCGTGAGGAATCTGTAAAGATTTCAAGCATTCAGACGACAACAGCCTTGATTTGACTCATTGTTGATTGGGCTAGAATGATTATTGCGGTCTATTTTCGGCAAGCAAGTCAGATCTAGTTGAATTCTAAATGATTCTATATTAAATTGGATCTGTATCGATTAATATCTTTATAAGAGAGTCATTCTAAGCCTACAACGACGGAAGTTCGATTACACGCGGTGTGGATTATTTTACTTCATAACAAGAAAACAGAATTATTGGCTTGGACTGGACAAAGAATAATATTTCCTATCTAAAAATTGCCTAACCAATCAATTTAATTAAGACGAGCTACGAAATATTGACTTTCTTCAACCACCATCGATGGCTTATTCGATGTAAGCTAGGCGCCATCGTATAGATTGATTGAAAATAGAGTATAAGTAAAATTTTTTGCAAGTTGGATTGTAATTCATTCGTTAAGAACGGGTAAGTGTTAAGGATTATTTCTTCTTTCTTGAAAATACTCGCATGTTGTCAATATTTTCTCCATTGGACAAAAGAGATGACTATATTTTCTTTCTTTTTCCCCTCATGGATCAAGATAGTAATCTATTCAGTTTTTCCGATTCCATTATAATTACCTCCAATTTTAAAATTTGATGGAAACAACGGGAGAGACTCAACAGCGATCAGTAGATGGAAGGTCCAAGAAGAAACGAGTTGTTGTTCGATCTAGTACTGGATTAGAAGATGATTTTATGCAATCCGATTTTTCATCACTCAATGACATCAGTGGTGATAGCAATACTGGATCAAGTAGTATATTAAATGGACAAAATCGGCCCAATAGTTTGGACGACGATGATGCTAAAGAAGAAATCTTATTACCGGTTGAAATTGAAGAAAACATTATTAAATTACAATTGATAGACTTATTTCGAGGGTAAGTTACATCATTTCCTTAACCGACTTGAAATTGTTTGACACTTTAATCTAGTTATTTATGAATAAGACCGATCGACAACAATTTATTTTTGGGGTGGCTAAAGATTAATTAACTAACATGGGTCGAATGAAAAAGAATAGAATGAGAATTCTAGCCATGTTTATGCAAGTGCTGTTCATTATTATTCTCCATACTGCAAGTTTTTTGTTTCATATTGGATAATAGAATTAACGAGTTTACTCAAGATTGGCCACGATGATATTAGTCATTATTTTTTTGCAACTCTTTATTCCACTCTTTCTAAAAACGAACTTAAATCTTAACCACTTGATGGAGTATATTTTAGACTATCCAGATGTTCGTGTTTCATATTCAATAACAGAAAATGAACGAATCTACTCAAGATTGCCCGTAATGATACTAATTAAACGATCTTTTTTCAAGTCGTAGTTCTACTCTTTCTAAAAACTACCGTAACCTAAATCTTACCTATTTTCGATAAAGTATTTATTAGACGATGCAAAAGTTTTTGTTTAATATTAGATAATAGAGTTAACAAGTTTACCCAAGATTGGCCATGATGATATTAGCCAATCTCTATCAAGTCTTGATTCTACTCTTTTCAAAACTGGTTTACCTATTTGATAAAGTATTTATTTTGCGATCCAGAGATTCTCCTTTAATATTAGATAATAGAATTAAATTAAAGAATCGACTCTGAAATGACCATGATGATATTAGCTAATATTTTTAAGCCTTTAATCTACTCTTGGCTAAATCCGGTATATTTAATCTTATTTAATCTTTCTAAATACTAGCTTATCTATTTTATTCTACTCTTTCCGGAAACCAGGATATTTAATTTTATTTTAACCTCTCTGAAAAGTAGCTTATTTTATTTTACTCCACTCTTTCTCAAAAATTAGCCTATCTAATTATGTTTTCATCTTTCTGAAAACTAGCTTACCTATTTGACAAAGTATTAGTAGGCGATTAAGCTCTTATTTCATATCAGGTTTTACTCAAGATTGATAATGTTGATATTAAATGATCATTTTACGACGTTATTTTTCCCTTTTCAAACACTAGCCTAAATTTTACCTATTCGATAAAGTATTTATTAGCCAATCGAGAAATTTATATACCGACACCGGGGAAAACAATGAGAACATTTATTTTCTATTTCAAAATTTTTTCAAAATTTTTTCAGCCTATAGTACCTTTGCTTGTTACTTTGTCGCCGACAACATAAAAGCTATACCTACCAGTCCCCCTGTTAATCCAATGTGAGGATCTCTATTTCATTTTGTATTCTCCATAGCAAGTGAAAAGATCCTTCCTTAACGATGTTATACTGCATTGACAATTCGACGTTCAATGGCTACCCTGATTAGGTGATGAATTGCTCAGACCACTAGAGTGAGATTAGGTCATGTTATCCCCGTGATAGCCATTGAACGCTGTCGACGACAGCTAAAATTTGATTATAATCCATCATTTGCCTTAATGGCAAGGTATAAAGATTTTTCCACCCTTATTCCTCATCGATGTCGAATACAACATCTCTGTGATCATTGGACTATCCATAGTATACTGATATAGAATGCTACTCAGGCATTTTCAGTTATCACTTCGTGCTGTGTTATCACTACGATCATAAATTTAATATAGCACATTAATAAACATGATATTTCCAATGATTTGAATACGTAGAATGGCTTTTAGTGCCCAATTTAAGAAGCCTCTCATCAGTCCTTTTTAAGCCCAATTAGAGTATCTCTATCTCTCCTACTTATTACGCTCGTTTAGCTAAATAGGCACCAACGATACTAGAGGAAAGGACTACCAAACTAAACCGAAAATAATTACATCTAGATCACTACTGGCTCTTTCTATTATTAACGCTAATCTTAATTCCACTGACCTTTAATTTTACCGGTTATAAATGACTAACGCTGCTAGAATTACCAGTAAAGTGATTCAAATTACTTGCAGAATGGTTACTTACAGGCGATATCGAATGTTAAACTCCTTTATACAGAAGGATTTCCGTATTCCAATAGGAAACTTTACACTAAAGTTTATCAAATTTTGATTTGAAACCCGCTGTAAGAATAAGTTCAATCCAATGTCCACCTTCTATACTTAAGTTATACAAGAACACACGTCGTCATTTTCAAAAGGCCTGCTGGGCCTTTGGTTATTATTCAAGCTTGTAACATTACTCCTAAATTCAATATGCAATCAAATACGACATAAAAAAATTATTGACTTGCTTTGTTACAAAAGGGGGACATAAAAGAGCGCAACATGGATTACTCATATACGAGTATTATAGTACACGATCCATTCTATAACTTTCGAGTCATTGACCAGCGAAGGTAGCCATTATAATGCATACAAGTAGCTCTGAGGGAGAAGAAGCAATTCAGTAAGACGTCGTGTGGACCAAAGTTATCCTCTTTTTCTATTCATTAATTGGATATTGTTGTGTATTACTATACTAATATTAACCAAGTCTAAGATTCAGATATATGAAAGATATCACATCTTATTAACCCATAGTTGATCCAAGAGATAGAGGGTAATAACAAATAAAAGCTTTAAAAGTATTCTTATCTGCATTAGGTTAACTATTAAAAATAGTTTATCTACTCCACTTCAGATCTAGTCTAGTTGTGCTAAGGATCAAGATACAATAACAAGGTTGTACTTCCAACCTTGATCAAAATGATTCTTCTTCACCATTTTCAGCAGGCATGTAAGGCTATCTCCTATGATATCGTATTATAAAATTACTCCATTCTCGTTCATGAAATTACCCTTGAATAATTGTGCTTTTATAACTTTAGGGAGTATCGGTAGTTATTCTACTCCATCCAGCTGCTTAGAAGTATCTACAAATAACGGGATGCAACGCGTAGTAGTAGGATGCTACCACGTGAAATATCTTACTGTCTTTCAGTGTACGTTTAAAACTTATTCAGAAATTTTTACTGTGAATAGATCTTACTACACTATAATTTAGGTATTCCATTCCATCTAGCTGCCTAGAAATGTTTACAAGTTACAGTTTTTAACCTATAGTAACAGAATACAGCCTCAATGAAATGAATCATTTTGTCGTTTTCTGATCTACGTATAAAATCCAATCAGAAATTTTGCTGCCATTACAAATCTTACTTTATGCTGTAAAGTAACGATTTTACTCCCATCTAATCGCTTAGAAGGGTTTAAAAATAAACAGCTCGCAACGTGAATTATCATTATCCTGTATGAAATCAATAAAAAATTGAAGGTATAATGAATCTAAATACGACTCAATAAATGTTGCCGCTGAAATATTACTTTAAAAATACACCATGAAATAGGTTTAGCTTCACAAAAACCAAGTTTGGCAAAGCGATTAGTCTTTACTAGTGAGTAAGAGGGTATTCAGGTTGCCTGTTGACTATAGAAATAAGTTGGGTAGAATTTTATTTAGCATAGTGATACAGTAAAGGTCTCGATATCATTTTTTCAACCATTGACATCATCTGCTTGAACATCATCATAAAAGATTGAATTGTTTTTCTCCTTACTTACAAAATTTAGCGGACAATAATTTCCTTATAATCACATTATACAAGTAGGCAGCCAATAGTGCCTAAAATATTCATAGATTCTGATCTATGTCTGCATACTTATGTTTAACAGATCAATAAAAAAATTATGATCTGAAATACGGCATTGTGCTAGTAATTGTGTTTTTAGATAGAGTAGAGATAGACTTATATTCCTAGAGAGAGAGAGTTTTGTACTTCTATCGAATAAGAAATAGTTATTAATTATGGCTGCGCTGTAGCTCTAAAGAATATCTATCATAATAATATTTTGATAGAGTAGTAATCAACTGATATTCCTTACTACTTTACTTTAGTATGACCGTATAAATAACAATTCAAAATAACATGATTTTATTGATATTACTACCAACTTACACCACAGCTATTAAAATTTCATAACTATTACTTCTTATCCATATTCCATAGCTAACTATGAGCTAATAGCTAATGTTGTAATGTGATAGTATAAAAGATAATGCTATATAGGCGTATTCTTATCGATATTATTACTAAGTTACACCGCTGTTATAAAATATTTATAACATGTTATCCACATCCCACAGCTAACTACGAGCCAATGACTAACATTATAATGTTGATGGTATAATTAATTATGCAAAATAGACATACTTTACTGATATTATTAATAACTTGCACCAAGGTTATTAAAATTTCATAGCAATTACAAGTTATCCATATTCCATAGCTAACTACGAGCTGATGACTAATATTATAATGTGATAGTATAAATAATAACGCAAAGTAGACAGGTTTTATCGATATTATTACTATCTTACCCCAAACGTTATTAAAATTTCATAACAATTACTTATTATCCATATCCTATAGTTAATTACGAGCCGATGACTAATATTATAAACAATTTTACTAAATTTGTATAAGTATGGGCTAAAACGTAAATTAGTAGAGGCAAACCTTCTAGTGGTCCCTGGCTAAGATAACCCATCTTAAAATTCTCTTCTTTATTATTCTTTACTGTAACTACCTATTTAAACCTTTTTACTATTCTTTTAACCGGAAATAGGTACATTTGTCTGATTTATGACGTAATGAATTGCCTATCACAATCATAAATTTGTCCAAGTTTAAGTCACTATTTACCCATGACTCTATGCTAGTTATCAGGTGATAGAAAGTACATGACGTGCTAATTATCCCATCTTGCTCATTATCCTTTAAATGTAAAACTAAACACCTTTTCTTCGAAGAGCTTGCTAATATTGACAGTGATTTCATTAGTTATCATTCCTAATTAATATGTATAAGCTGATACAGTTTGTTTTTGAATCATCGTAGAATAATTAGTATTTATTTTTTCGAATCTTATTAATTGCTACACGAGAAAGAAGAATTGTTCTTTTTTCTTAATTTAAATTTACTAACCAGAAATTCATCTGTCAAAAAGGAATTATGTGATATTTCATCCTATTCTTTCTACCTACATTTTATCAGATGTGAACTCAATTTGAACACTACCTATTTTACTATCTATTTTTTGACTTATATTACTGAGCGCATGGAGACAAGAAAACAATTCAATTTGGCTCAAAACGAGTGTAGCTTGACACATATACGTATTAACTGAATTATAACATGTATTCTATTTATGACTGTAGATCTCTACTATATATAGCAAAAATATTAATTTTCCATGTAAGATTATGTACATAGAAACAGCAATCAATTTGATGATGTAGCAATTTAATAGCATTATCCTATAATTTAGTCCATTTATTAAGAACAGGTCATGGTCATTTCTTCTTCAAATAAAGCGACTGTTGATACAACTGTAGCTATTAGAATTATGCTTTGTTATTTACGATAACGATGATTAATATAGTCCTCGGCAAAGTTAAATTAGGATACATGAAATCATTGAATGCCGCTTATCCCCTAACTAGACATGTAATACGATTGTAATCATAACATGTAAATCGAGGATATCATCAATCGGAAACATCTAAATAGACAAGTAAAAAAAATCAGCTCATGCTAGACCATGATTATAACTCATGTTGCGGTTTATCCAAGTACATTATGCCTTATTACCATGATTATAATAACATTTTTGCATTCACGCTATCTCTAAAATCATTTTTGTTAATACTTCAAAGGGATAGAGTACAACGTTGTAATTGTATAATAATGGCTTGCTGAATATTATTAGTATTCCATTCTAATAAAATTGGACCATGTTTAGATTAGCTTGATAAATAAACTACAGAGTAAAATGAAGAGTTTGAATTATAACAATATAAGTCTTTCTTTATAATTTTATTTATAGCTACGAAGGCATACTGTCCAAGCTAATTTTAAGATATTACGAAATTTATGAAAAGAAACCTTCATTACTACCGCAATTTGAAAAAGCATTAAAACAAGTCTGTAATCAATATTACGAAAAGCAAAAAAAGATTGGTGTCCAACCTGGCAGGTATAGCGGAGAAATTACTACATTCGATAGCATTGAAAATAAATTATTTTGCAACTCTAATATAAGATATAGAATGCTATGTACAGCATTCCAATATCGTAAAGGTGATCGTAGCTGGCAATATTGACTTATGCTAATAAAAAACTAATTGAATTAGTAACAATATTAATGAGTTATGTTTTGTAATCACGCGCATTCAACGGTTTGAGTATGAACTAGTTCTCTAGAGTAGAAGAACTATTGCTTTGTTTTTAATGATATTAAGAGAATTGTTTATTCCTGTTCTACTTTATTTATATCCATTGACGATCAAGTCAAGAGGAGCTTGATCATTTGATCCATATTATCGAAGTTGTTGAGGAAAGTATTAAGGAAGACCAAGATCAGTCAGTAAGTAGATATTCAGTATTTGTTAAATAATACTTAATTAAAAATGATCTTACTAATACATTATGAAAAAAGGAACGGTTAGCGTGTAAAAATAGATATCGAATGGCAATTTTATGCTGATTTTCTCGATTTCATCATCAATAGTAGCATAGCAACTGACGATCAATATAAAAATTAGCTAAGATAATTTTAGCTATTTGTTAAGTTACTGATTCATCTGAAGTCCTTTTTATTTATTAGCTATTTGATAATTGATGGAAAATTTAGCTTTTGCCTTTAGGAGAGATATCAATAGACACAATCTATGCCGTTATATATTTTTACCTTTCTTAGTTAATCTTTAATCCTTAAGTATGGGTATACTCTTCCTGTAGCAATATAAAGAATCCGATATTCGTCAATACAGTCTATATAGTAAAAACAGAAATGAGGGTAATCACTATGTTTATGATGATAATGACCTTCTTAGTCAACTTTGAAATCATCTTCTCCATGAAGCATCAGATACGGTAGTCAATAGCAAGAAATCACAGAAATGACTATCTGGAAAAGATATCATATACGTAGCATAACCGCCTCTTGCGCTGTCCTCTAGGACTTCTTATTTAATTTTAAATCTCTTGCCTTACTTAGCATTGGGTAGTGCATAGAAATAAGATGCTATAGTCAGAAAAAATTCTACGGTAGCAGCCGCGACCGATAACTTCGTGTTGGTCTCGAAATTAATTATCATTTAATCTATTACATGTTAGATGGGGATAGACGTTGATGGCGTTTCCGATCAAGTTCCTAATCAGCCTTCGATAATTAGCGATCGCTCCTTTAATTTAATGGATATAAATCAACAACTTAATCTATTACTTCATGAGAAACATGAGGTACGAAAGATATTGGAATATTTTCAATTTTTAGCTATTCTATCGTCCTCCTACATCTTATTATACTAGATTAACGTTGATATAGCAGACATTACTCTGAATGATATAAGAAGGGAATATGCAACTCTTAATGCTAATGATATTTTTCCTATTATCACAGCTCGAAGCAAAGGTTACCGAATATGAAAAGGAGAAGGCCTTCATGGACGAAAGGAATCAAGAGGTAAATGGTGAATAAACTATAGCAAAATAATAGCCATGTTAATTACTACTTCAGTTCATTTCACTTGTATCTAAGTGAGTGTACAGTTTACGAGCTTAGACGATTCTAGTTCGAATTATAAATCCTATTACAACCTTTATTAATCATTTGTTTGGGATTTTATTATAGTTAAATAAGTTATTAAAAATGATTAAAAGATCAGAAATAGAAGTCCGAAATGAAAATGAAGCTCTTCTACAAGTGAGTACTCATATCTATATCATTTAATGGCGGTATAGTTATGAAATTATATAGTAGTATCTAAATTGAGAATTAACAAAGACTTTAATGTACAATTAGGACAGCATTACTCTGTATAAAATATATCTATACAACAAGGATAATAAGATAATTTCCCTGTAAACATTACATTTATAGTAAAGTATAAAAGTTGACCTTTATGAGCAAATAACTCTCTGTTCTTCCCAAACTTATCCATCTAAACCCATGTAAAACTAGTATTAAGATGAAGTAGATAATGCCTTCTTGCCTTAGTATACTTTAGCGATTAGACATCATTGACCATTTTGTCGTTTGTCCGCAGCTAAATGAATCCCTACAAAGCATGCTAGCTATGAATAGTAATGGTAGCGGCAATCTGAATCGATTGATGGCAGCAGAATCAGAACAAATCAAATATAACAGGTTAGTCTAAAGTATATAGCATAAACGGGTACATCTAAGAGGCAATTCTCTTAGAAGTCCCTGGCATAAAACAATCTTAGTTATTGCTTATAATTACTTGTAGTAATTCGTCTCTAATTTTAAAATATTCGGACTTTTAAACACGATATTTCTTATTCTATATAGCAATGAGAGTAACCATAATGGTCAAGTGGAAAGCCTAGTGATCCAGGATAAGGATAAAGTAATGTATAAGATTTAGCATTATCCAACTTACATTCCCCATTGGTGATACTATATCTCATACTTTGCTACCAGCTCCTTATCCTTCTCAAGGTGGATAATGCTTGATTACTATTTCTATTTTTACTACCTTAAACGATATTCTAGAATAATACAGTCTCGGATATTAAGCCTGCTAAAAAGGCAACGTTTCGAAAAATGTCATTAAAGGTAAGAAATTTTGAATAGCTTAAGTATAGTTAATACTAATATTATAATCATAAAGTAATTCCACGCTTCCGAATTCTCGGAGTCCTTTATAATAATAATCTGTTGACATCAGTGATACTCATTGCTAGACAATATTGGTACAAGTAGATCTACTTCTAATCATCTACTTCTATTTATTCGATATATTTGCAGAAGAAAACTTTAAATGTCTTTAAAATTGTCCTTGTTGGAGACTCTGGAGTTGGCAAGACCAGTTTTATTCATCGATTTTGCTACGATGACTTTGTTGAGGACCATCGAGTTACACTAGGTTATTACTGCGACTTTAGTTTATCGCCATAGCTAACTAGCTTAATAGGAATGATATAAAATCTGAGATAATCATTCTGTTTACTGCATGATACGATAACGTAAATTCTAAACTGATACTCTTTTCATCATGCCTATGTTAACCCAAGATATTGGATTTGAAATGTCTACTGTCATGGTTGATGATACGCCGGTTTCATTGCAAGTATGGGATACTGTCGGCCAAGAAAGGTACTCATATTGAAACTGATTTTTCGAAAATTCTTCAAATATAATTAGCTTACAATTGTAATAGAGACTTTGGCAATCTCGCGTATGATAAATTTAAACTCCAATTTTAAGTTAATCTATCGAACATCAAGAGCAAAAAAAGCTTAAAGAATTCTTCTAATTTTATTTCAATATAGATTTCGTAGTCTTCCGCAATCCTATTACCGGGATGCTAATGGAATTCTTTTACTCTACGATATTACACGACAAGAATCTTTTGCCAATATACAAGGATGGATTGCAGACATTAAGGTACATGTGAAACTTAAGCTGATATAGCATAAAATTGTTTTACTAGCCCTTAACATAGCATCAATTAGCTACGAATTTGAGTTGCACTTCTAGTTACTAGTAGAAAACTCGTCGCGGGTAATTTCATCATCTTAAGGATATTTAGTCTTGACTTCTACACCAAAATTTTAGTATATTACTTAAAATTGTACCAACTATACAAATAGTAACGTTTTTAGCCTGTTTTCTATATCAAATTTAATGCAGGATAACGCTAGTGAGAACGTATTAATTATGATTACCGGTAACAAATTGGATTTACAAGATCAAAGAGAAATCAAATCTGACACCGGCTCACGTTTAGCTATGGTAAAATAACAACGATGTATAGAAAATAAATGAGCTGAGTCATTGTATATAAATTTAAATATTTTAGTGGATAAAGATAGATCTACTGCTGCTTTATAAATTTCAATTGTTTCTTTAAGTGCCGGTACCAATTATAGTCATAAGATCTCTATTAATTTTAGAGTTACATAAGATAGATCTACTGTTGCTTTAGAAGTTTCAAGTATCTCTTTTAAGTACCGACTATAATCATAAAATTTCGAATAATTTATGGGTCCAATTTTTTACCAATTTCTCTATATCTAATCTTATTTTAGCTTCATGACGCCATGTTTACAGAGTGTAGTGCTAAAACTGGCGAAAGTGTTGAAGAAAGCTTTCATCAGTTAGTTCGGTAATGTCAAATTTAATTTTGCATTAATTTCAGGTTTTTTTCTATATCATTATTTTGCTTATACCTTACTTTATTAACCTTATTTCATCAGACACCTGATGCAACGACAAATGGATGGTCTGAAACGTAAAAAATTAGATCTATATCGCGCTCGAAGTTTTGTACGGCTAAATACTGAGGAAAATGCAAGCGATACAGCAAGAAAAGGATCTTGCTGTTTATAAAAATAGATCAATCCATACGTGGAATTTCATTATTGACTATATAAAGAAAGATAGCCACTACTCAGCCTTAGTTCCACTTTATTTAATGCTATTCTATGTGAAATTTCGTTATTGAGTATACAGAAGACAGCCACTATTTAGCTGGAAGTTCTATCTTACTTAGTGGTATTCTAAGCATGTAAACTTCACCTGTCTCCAATCTTAACACGTTACTCAAATGAAAATCAAAAATTGAACACAATTTTACAAAAACACCATCTCTATCGTAAGAAACACCTATGCATTACATAAACAAGCATGAAACACTTAATTTATAGTCAAGATTAATACTATATCTCGCATCGATGACTGTTACGCTTATAGCCAAGCAAGGAAAGTAAGAAAACATCAAATCATATTCATCGTAAATCTATCATATAATATCAATGTTTTATTTATGAGCGATATGTTTACAAATACACTCTTATTCATTAAAATATGCTTTCAATCATTCTAATTTAATCAAAATTTAGCTCCGATTCTATTTTTTGTTATAAATCGCTGCCTAATGTTCATAGCTTAGCAAATAAAAGCATTATAATTAACCTTGATTGGTTTAAGCATTTTATTTATTGACTGAGTTATCTTAAATAGTTGCTTACAAGCAATCTTGCTGATTAATGAGGTCGTGGAGGAGACTCGGAAAAAGCACGCATGGATGGGCTTTCTGCAAGAACTAATTTCTTGATAAATGAGCTAGGAGACTGAATTAATGTCTACGCGTAGATCAATGAGTTAACGAAGATGCCTGAATAAAAATTTTATTAATGCCAGTACTGGTAGTTAATTTAATATTTTGCTACGTTAATAACAGAAGCAAACATAACTGAAACCTAATTCAATTACAGTATTCGTATTCAGTTTTCAACATATTTCAGAAATAAATCTACAAACTCCTATATCGTTCAATCAGCTCAGGCCATGGCTAAAGGGGTTTAATACTTCGCTACATTACCAATAGGCAAAGATATAGCGCTATTGATTCATAATATTAAAACTCAATTTCCTGCACTCTTCAGAAAATAGGTCTACCAGCCCTTACGTTGTCCCAACATCAGCTAGATTCGTGGTATAAAAAGGGCTTAATATTTGCTATATTACTGATAGAAACGGGCATAGCTAAACCATTATTAAATCATAATATTGAAATTGCATTTCCTGTACTCTATAGAATTAGATTTGTGAATTCTTACGTCGCTCAATCATCGGCAGTTACCTTGATACGAAAGGGTTTTAATATTTCGCTATTACTAAAGGAAACAAGCATAGATTACACTTAATTCAATTACAGTATCGAGATTCGATTTCCAACATAATTCAAAAATAGATCTAAAACTCCAACATCGTTCAATTATCAGTTCGGGTTTTAGCAAAAGGAGCTTAATTTTTTAAACATGAGTAGATAACGCAATCTGTTAACTAGGTGAAAAATAAGTAAATGATAGTATTTCGTTGATCATAGAAACGATTTTGGCTATTTTTGTACGCAGATCTGAGAAGATAATGCTATCAACCCAATTTATCAATCATTGAATACATTAGACAACTTCAATTTATTTTTTCATTTAGAAAGTAACATATTTAATAATTATACTGGTGGTGTCATCTACTCATATTTCAATATGGCAAAGATAAAAATAGCTGAAATTGTTTACAAGATCAATGAAATATTATCATTGATTTACATTTCATCTTATTAAATAAATCAGCCGGTAGCATGCTTACGTTTACGTAAAAACGGCCGGTAATATGCAGATTATAGAGAAGTGGATACAAGATAGTATCGGATATAGGTAGGTTGTATAATAATTTATCTGCTCATATTTCAATATGGCATAAATAAAAATAACCGAACTTTTTCTTGATCGATGAAATACCATTATTGAATTACATTTCATCTAGTTAAATAAACCAACCTGTAGCATGCAGATTATACATGACTGGACACAAGATAATGTCGGATATATTTCAATATGGCGTAGATAAAAAATAGCCAAACTTTTTCGATGATCAATGAAATACTATCATTGAATTACATTTCATCTAGTTAAATAAACCAACCTGTAGTATGCAGATTATACAAGAGTGGACAAGAGATGCTACCCGAATGTACAAACGTTGCACAATGCTTAAAACTACAGAGAGCATACGAGAATGGAATTTTTTGATAGTATCAATATTTGGAGGAGTGTTCTGCTTTCTCCGGCCCATATTCCCACCCAGTAGCGAGGTGTGGACAGAGAGACCAATCCTCTCGAATTTATGATAGATGCGGTATAATAAAAAGTGGAGTGATAAGAGTAAACAGAAGGGAACATTTAAAGACGATATTAATAGGTTAAAGCAAAGCAAATTAATATCACACATAGATGGAAAGAGGATGAAAGAATGCGTAACTGTGAATCGATGCTAAAAAAAGAATGTAAACATCGTGGATACTTCTTTATTAACAGAATTTACCCTTGGATAATTGATCTATAATCCGTCGTTCTATGAGAATTATAGGCTGAGAAGAACTCGGTAATGATGCCTATGATCAATCAGCCATCGCAGTTGCAGTAAATAGGATCAGTTTTGTAATTATAATGGATACTCCGATCATCCAATACTCCAAATTGAGAAGTTAATACTATAAATCTAGACCCCATTTTAACCTAATTGTAAGTAGCTACCGTATCTTCACGCGTTGATCAATAGGAAATAGAGCAATGCATATGAATACGTGATCGTCGTATCCATCGAACTTCTATAAGCCGACAGAAGAAATTTGCCATGGAATAGACTGGAAAATTGTTGGTAAATGAGTTTTCTAGCTACTTAATAACGTTTATTAAGCTAAACATTGCAATATAGAATAGTCAAATTCCTTGCCAGGACACACTGGCTATAATTTACTGCGGATTAAGACAGCACATTCATAAACGAAAAGATTTCATTCCACACTGACAAATTTAAAAGGGGAAAACGGCATTGCATGCTTATCTATCTTTAGCATTAGTATGATAAAATTTTATATAATACATGTAATAGGACAAGGCGTTATGTAAAATTTCTTACTAGTCTTTAAAGATATATATGTCTTGTTATAATATACAGTATGGATACGGATCGTATAAATATATAGCGAGATACAGTAATTGATAGAAAAATGATAGAAAGAGCATCAACAAAAAATGATTAAATCTCTGGGAATATAGAATAAGATTATTTTTTATTTTGATCAAGCTCGAATTAAGGAATGTATAATAAAATTCCATTATTGAGTAGAAAGAAGTAAATATTTAATCGTCTAATGAAATAAAATATTTTAATTGTCTTCCAAAAGCACAAAGATAGATTTTGTAGCAGTAAACTCAGAAATTTGGGCTAGAGATGACTAAAATAACTTGTTAAGCTAAGATGATGTAATCTAAAAAGGGATCAATGCAGATATCTCTTTATGAAGAGGTAAAATTAGAGGAATGGCCATCTAATATTGATCTAGTAATTTAATGATCTGATGGAATAAGACATTTTGTAGTCCTTGTTAAATGAACCTAGGTAGATTTTTTATTAGGGTACATTAAACTATAGGCTAGTGGATGTTTATCATGGAATTAAAATAGCCTTATCATGTTAAGATGATGTAATCCAGGAAGGGATAAAGTATGGATATCTTGATATGGAATTGAAATAGAGGAATGGACATTTAACTCCAATTAAAATTTTAGCCAGTGAATGATTTCTATAGGATTAAAATAACTTTTCTATGCGTGAGATGATGTAATTCAAAAGCAATGAAGTACGAATATCTTGATGTAGA